ATAGGAATGACTGCTTCGGTACCAAAGGCCAGATGATAGGGTGTTTCACCTATTTCAGGGGATTATAACTTTAGAATGCGCTTTACACGTTATGCATATTTGCTCTAAGGTAAACCCATAGCAGAAGAAGTAAAATAATATAAAATTAATTGAATAGGCCAGGTGTAGAGTAATACCTGTGGCAATTCGACTCATAGTTCTGTATGCCCAGAGGACGTTGTTGAGCTCGTCTGCCCATTTGGCCTTGTGTTGTTCCAGCCTCGGCTTTATACCTTCTAAGATGCACTTATTAACAGATTCGACCATGCCGTTGGACTCCGGATGGTAAACCGAGGTGAACTGTAGTTTATTCTCGTAACTGGAACAGAAATCTCGGACTGAGGAGCAATTGAACTGAGTTCCATTATCAACTACAATCTGATTCGGGATCCCATATCTGCAAATAATCGAGCTGAAAACAAAGTCTTCGACCTTCTTGAAGGTGAGACTAGATAATGCCCGAGCTTCAACCCATTTTGTGAAATAATCTACACCAACAATGAGGTGGGTTACACCTCCTACCCCCTTCACAAATGGGCCTAAAAGGTCAAGACCCCATTGAGCGAATGGCCAAGGTGCCACCAACGTAGTGAGCTCTTCTACAGGCTGATGGATTAGATGTGCAAAGAACTGACATTTCTGACACCTCTGTACGAACTGAGTGGCATCCTTGTACATGTTAGGCCAATAATAACCCTGTCTAAGGACCTTGTGAGCTAAAGTTCGAGCACCCACGTGACTTCCGCAGACACCTTCATGCACCTCCCTGAGTGCATATTCTGTTTCATAGGGATTCAAGCACCGTAGAAGAGGTAGGGAAAAAGATCGCTTATAGAGGACCCCATCAACAAGTGTATACCGAGATGCTTTCCTCCTCAACTTCATTGCCTCCTGCCCGTCCGCAGGTACTATCCCGTCTCGTAAGAAGGAGAGGATTGGGTCAGTCCAGCTCGGTGTGCCTGGGTCGGTGCTGATCTCCATTACCCGTGGCTTCATGAAGCTTGGTTCATCCAAGACCTCCACAAAAATCGATCTGGAATGTGAAGAACTATCAAAGGCAAATTTAAAGAGTGAATCTGCCTGTTCATTCTCAGTTCGGGGGATTTTGCTCAGACAGAATTTCTGGAATTTGCACTTCAGCTCGGTCACCAGAGCTACATATTTCACCATCACAGGATCAACAACTTCGCAGATTGAGTTAATCTGGTTCACCACTAGCTAGGAGTCACTGTATACTTGGATCGCACTGAGTTTTAATTCCAATGCTAGCTGCAGACCAAGTAGCAGGGCTTCAAACTCAGCCATGTTGTTTGTTGCATCGAAGTTAAATTTCAAAGCATGTTCACTTCGGTATCCATCTGGGCCGATCAAGAGAGCACCAGCTCCTGAACCTTTGCTACTAGATGCCCCATCAACATATAAGGTCCAGTCATTAGGCTCCAGAGTAGGAATGGAATTACCTGGAGTGCACTCCACAATAAAATCTGCCAATGCCTAAGCTCGGATTGCAGATCTCTGCTAAAATGTTATCTCAAATTCCCCCAGTTCTACTACCCACTTAATTAATCTTCCAGAACACTCAGGCTTTTGCAGAATCTACCAAAGGGGTTGGTCTGTAAGAATAATGATCGGGTGAGAATGGAAATATGGCCTCAACTTTCTGGCCAAAGTGACAACTGCTAAGGCTGCTTTCTCAGCTATAGGGTACCTCAGCTCGGCTCCATGCAGCACACTACTGATATAATATATTGGTTTCTGCTGCTTGGCTTCTTCTCTTACCAGAACCAAACTAATGGCTTCATCTGAAATTCCCAGATATAAATAGAGGATTTCTCCATCTTTGGCTTTAGTCAGTAGAGGTGGTGAGCTAAGATAAGACTTCAGCTCGTCGAATGTGGCTTGGCATTCCTAAGTCCACTCAAACTTCTTCTGTTTACTCGATTCATCCTTCTGGGCAACTGACCGCATAATTTTGAAAAACGGTAGGCACTTATCTGCTGACTTCGATATGAACCGATAAAGAGCTGCTACCCTTCCAATCAACCTCTGTATATCCTTCACTGACTTCGGCGGTTCCATCTCGGCAATTGCTCTGATCTTCTCTAGGTTGACCTCAATCCCTTTCCAAGAAACCATGAAACCCAAGAATTTTCCAAACTCCACACCAAAGATGCATTTGGCTGGGTTTAACCTCATTCTATTCTGTCTGAGATTGTTGAATGTCTCCTCAAGGTCGGTTAAGTGATCGTCAGCTTTCAAACTCTTTACCACTATATCATCAACATAAACTTCCAGATTCCGTCCTATCTGAGCTCGGAATACGATGGTAACCATCTTCTGGTAAGTGGCACCTGCGTTCTTCAAGTCGAAGGGCATCATTACATAGCAATAAATCTCATCGCCAGCATAGAACGAGGTTTTTTCTTCATCCTCAGGAGCCATTGGGACCTGGTGGTAGCCTGAGTATGCATCGAAGAGACTTAATCTCACATTTCCCGAAGCTGCCTCAACCAGCTTGTCAATGTTTGGCATCGAATAACAGTCCTTTGGACATGCATTGTTGAGGTTAGTGTAATCAATGCACATCTGCCATTTACCGTTCGCTTTTTTCACCAACACCGGATTGGCGACCCATTCACAGTAATCTACCCTTCTGATAAAGCCGGCTTGTAGGAGTTTCTCGACTTCTTCTTTAATAACCTTTAACCTCTCCCCCCCGAAGAGGCATCGCTTCTGGGCTACTGGTTTCTTGAGGGGATTGGTGCTGAGTTTATGTTGAAAAACTAAAGTGGGAATTCTCGGCATATCTACTGAAGTCCATGCAAAAACATCTTTATTGGCTCAAAGAAAAGCTATTAGCTCTGCCCTTTCCTCCGGGTTCAATTTAGTCCCAATTTGCGTTTTTCGGCTTGGATCTCTGTCATTAATCTGTACCTCCTCCACATCTTCGACTGGAGCAGCTCTGGTTTCATCTTCTGGTCGGTTATCTACTATCTCAACACCCATAACTTGCCGATCATCAGGAATCCATTTGGGATTAATCTCGGGCGTTTGAGCCTTGCCTTTCTGAGGTTGTGTTACCGAGGTGATATAGCAATGTCGGGCCACCTCCTGGTTGCCTCGCAGCGTTGCTATTCCCGTAGGAATTGGGAACTTCATGCATAGGTGAGATTGGGAAACCACAGCTCGGATTTCAGTCAGTGTGGGTCGACCAATGACAACATTGAACGAGGATGCCATCTTGACTACCAAGAACCTAACTGAAGGGGTCACATAACTCTAGCCACTTCCAAACGCAACATTCATGGTGAGGACTCCTTCAACTGGGACTGGCTAGTTGTTGAATCCGTAGATGGGACCATCATACCGCTGCAACAAAGCTGGATCCAACCCAAGACTTTCAAAACAATGGAAGTACATGATGTCTGGTGCACTCCCTGTGTCAACAAGGACGCGCTGCACCTCACAATTATTGATCGTGACAGAAGTGATTAGGGGGTCATTGTGAGGCGTGACGACTGTGTCAAAATCAGCAGATGTGAAAGTAATTGGTTGATTCTTCCAGTCAGCATCATCAAATTTCCGTTTCTTGGTGTGATTTGGATGCTTAACCTCTCTGACGTACAACTTTCTCTGTTTAGAGCTCAGTCCACCGGCTTCCAGGCCTCCTATAATCATGTGTATAATTCTAGCTGGTGGTGGGAGCGGGAGTGGGGCTTGCTGATATCCCACACCTTGCCTGTTTGGCGGGTTACAGACTCCTTGATGCTGTCCCTTGTTCCCTGACAAACCGTGGCTGTTCAACTCTCTGGATGTACTCATTTAACATTCCTTTCTGCGCCAGACTTTCCAGCTCGGACCTCATACTATTGCATTGTTCTGTTGTATGACCGTGATCTTGATGAAATTCACAATACTTGGTATGGTCTCTGGTAGTAGCAGCAGTTCTCATTGGACCCGGACGTCTTAAGTCCATCTTATTCTTAATCTGCATAAAGATTTGTGACCTCGGTAAATTAAAAGGAGTCCAATTAACGGGAGGTTTACCTGTAGGTTGTTGCGGAGGTGCTGAGTTCGACCTTCCGAATCTCAGGGTGGAAGCCGACATCGGACCTCGGTTCTGTGTTGTCTTCATTCGTTTCCTGTTCGGATTCTCATCTCTCCAGTCTGGGTGTTGGTTCTTAATAGGAGTTATATTCTGCGACAGGGCATATTCCTCAACAATTATGAATTTCAACGATCTATCATTTACCTCGCTGAAGTTGTTGGCAGGATGTTTGAGCAGACTATCTCGGAATCTCTCATGGCTAAGACCTGAGATCACAGCTGTAATTCCCACAGCTTGGTCGAAAGAGTTAACCTCCAGTACTGCATCATTGAATTTGCTCATAAAATTCTTCAAAGACTCTCTGTCCCTCTGCTTAACTCGCATCAGCTCAGAAGTGGTTTTCCTGATCAACCTTCTACTGGAAAACTTTTTGGCAAAAGTAGATGCCATTTCTGTGTAAGAGTTGATTGACCTCGGAGGCAGACTGTAGTACCAGGTTCGAGCATTACCTCGGAGGGTAGAGGGAAAGATTTTGCACATCAACGCATCAGAGGTGTTCTGGGCCTGCATGCAAGAGTAGAAAGCATGTAAATGATCATCGGGGTCCTTCGTCCCATCATAAGTTTCAAGCTTTGGTATTATGAAGCCAGCGGGATAGGGTTCCAGTATAATATTGGTGTTGAGAGGGTGGGGTACGGAGTTAGCAGCAGGGTGTGGAGGTGGGGCACCTCGTTGTTCAACCACTAGCTTTTCTAAGCTATCTAGATGTCGAGTGACATCACCATGAAAGGGTTGCTGAACTGGCGCGCAGTGAGATTGGCCCTAAGATTCACTAATAGCAGGAGCATGCTGAACTGGTTCAGGATTTTGTGGTGGGGCTGGAGGTTGTGGAGCAGGATTAAGTAGGTTGATGAGTGGATCACCAGGATTATTCCGGGCTAATAGCTGTGCTAGTACTAACTGAAAGACACCAAACTGCTGTTGCATGGCAGTGAGCTGAGTTGCAACTACGCCTTGGTTAGCAGTAGAGGCTGAGTTGTGAACCGAATTGTGTGGTTGATTTTCGTCTTCTCTTTCTGCATGATCATCAACAGGAGGGAACGTATTTGGGATTGGGGGTGGGGGATGAGGCGGAAGGTTGCTGGGGACCTGACCTCGTCCAAGAGGTTGAGACAAGTTTCCACCTTGGGCTGACCTAGTTTTAACCATGATAAGAGTAACAAGGGAGCCTTTAGTTCAGATTCCCACAGACGGCGCCAAAATGTAATTCCACCAAACCAGAAATCCTTCTTCAGTCCGTATTTGCACTCTGGATTGACCTGCAAAGCCCCGAGGTGGATCCTCGGGGTAAACACTCTGATGCTTAAGTCAGCAATAATCGGGGCTATCTTTAGAGCGGAGAAACAAGGAGCTTATGGTTGGTTTCAATTACCTTTTGGCGTGGCCCTTGAGGGGTATTTATATGTTCCCATGAAGAAACAACGTGGCATGCCAAGCAAAATATTCGGGATCTGATGTGTATCTTCAGGCAGTTATTTTGGGATTTGATGCGTATCTCCAAGCAATTATTTTGGGACCCAGGGATTGAGCCAAGCAAGATATTCAGGATTTGATGTGAGGATGTCCATCGTAATTGCTATGCTGCTGTTCGAGCAGGAAGCTCTGGATTTATTCCTTACTTCGGTTGTAAAAGAATTACTGCCGTATGTCCGAGGTTGAGCACCTCAGACCTGCTCTTACACCTAGGGCACCACTTTTATTGTCAAGTAAAGCAATTGAATTGGCAACAACACCTGAAAAAGGGTCTAACATATAAAGAGAGAGTATCTTGAGTTAAAAAACTAATCTAACAAATATAAATATCTCTAGATATATACTCTTCACTTCCAATATTCTAATATAAGAATTTTTTTTATTTATATACTTACATAGAAATATCTAACAACTATTAGATTTATAGAATCCAAACACAAACCTCCAAGAAACCCACCCTATGCCAAACGATAGTGCAAGGTAAATAAATTTTTTATTTCGTTTATTTACACCAACGTGGAAATTGTACACTTTTTTTCAGTGAAATTGTACAATCTTTTAATGTAGGTTGGTTTTGGTTTTAGTAATTTAGAGCCTGGGTTCTTTATCAAAAAAAAAAAAAAAATTAGAGCCTGGGTATCTTTAGGAAATCTTTTCGTACTAATTTTTTAAAATAATTTTTATGGTGTCTTTTGTAAATCAACTTGATATATCTATAAAAATTAATTTTTTAAAATATTATTTTAAAATTTTAAAATTTAAAATTAATTTATAAGATGAATACTTATGAATGAATCATATCATAAAGGTTAATTTTAATATAGTTTGCTAACTTTAGTAGACTCTTAGTTTGTTTCTCTTTATGGCATATTCTCGTGGAATGACAAATACAATATTATAAAAGACATAATTATTTTAAAAGGAGAAATCATGGTTTTGATAACCGGATCGGTGATTGAACCGGTTTACTCATTGGTTCTCGATTAGGTCGATCTGGTCGATTCAATCGATTGGCCAACTGGGTCAATAAAAATTGCCAGAATTTGGCAAATTGCAATCCTGGGCTTTTCTACTTCAAAAAAAAAAAAAAAATTCGATTTCTATTTCAGGGGAGAAATAGATTTTGTCCAACTCATCGGCAGCACCCTCAGATGGACGGTGAAGGCCTGTGGTGGTGGGTCAAGGTTGGTGGGTGAACGCCAATCTGCTGCTTGCTGACTACCGATCTGCTGAAGAGACGATGAATGCCGATTTGCTACCCGATCTACTGCACTGTGGTTTCTTCTTTGCCGGAAAAGAGATGGAAACTGAAGAATGGAGACTGGAGAGTGGAGAGGCTGAGAAGGAGAATGATGGATGATGAAGATCTGCTGCTCGATCTACGAATGAACGATGGATGATGAATACACATGTGGGTTTTCTGATTTTGTTTGGTTATGGTAACTGGTAAGAGTTGAGAGTTGGAACTTGGAAGAGTTGAGAATGGAATGAAATGAGAAACCCCAACTGTGGGGAAAAAAAAAAAAAAACTTACAGATTATGCATCGGTGGTGCCATCCAGCCTGGAGCAATTCGCCTGACGGGTTTGCTGGGCCGTCCCGGCAAAAGGGGTTGAACAAGTTCTCTGGGTTTGGACGGGCCAACTGTCGAAACGGGCTTGGGTGTCAACCCAGCCCGTTTCATGCTCCGGGCGGTGGTCTAATCGGTCGGACCGACCGACCCAGTCCGAGTTTCAAAACACTGGGAGAAATCCTATTGGTCCAAGTGGCTAGTTAATAAGGGTGGGCAAAAACCGATTTTGGTTAAAACCGAAATTCGTTTTAAAATAATTGAAAATTTTTTTCTTCAATGTTGAGAACCAAAACTGACCAAAGTTTTCACAAACCGATCAATTTGGTTACCAATAAAATTGGTTTGATTTTGGTTTTTACTAAATAAATATTAATCAATTTTTTTTCGATAATAAATTATATTTTATCTCATATTTTATCATATTTATCCAAATTTTGGTTTTCAAGAGGCTCATTTTTGGTTTTCAGTTTGTGAAAGGTTCAATCAAAATTGAACCAAAATTTATTCAATTGATATCAAAACCAAAACAATAAAACTCAAAAATTGTTGAAACCGAACCAAATTCACTTTTTCGATTCGACTTCTGAGTAACCGATGGATTACCCACCCGAATGCCCACCCCTACCAATTAATATATTGTAAAAGACTACCTTATTTTATGGTGTTAGATTTAAATTCCATTTCTTTTATTTGTAATCTCCTTCTAATTTTTCATGTTTAAAAAAATTTATTTTGAACAAAATTATAAAATTTATAATTCGCACGTGTGACTTTTCTAGTAGTAACAAAGCTTCATAACATAATTGTCCTGAATGTTGATCGCTTATCTTAAAATTCAACAAAAAAATCTATAGCACGTCCCCTCAAAGAGACAAAGATTACTAATGTCCAATTATACCTATAATTGCATCTGATGTAAAAAGTTAATTAATTATAGATTTTAATAAGAATTACGTCCTTAATTTTAAGTATTAAACTCAAATTCTCCTTCATTAAATTAAATTTGTACTACTACCAAAAAAATTAAATTTGTATTTGATAAAAAAAAGTATATCCATAATTAAAAATTATATATTCATTTGAAATGTTAAAGGATTATTTGCTCACGCACTTTGCCTGCTAAGTACATGAACCTTTCGTACAAAAGACATAGATTCAAATTCTTCCTCCTGCTCCCACATGGACCTCGTGTGCGTGAGTTGTAAGGTATATATGGGACTCTAGACAATTTCAAACTAATCGGTTTTGGAATTGTACTATGTTCCATCACTGTACCCATGTAAGTGTTTCAAAAAAGACAAACCCCCTTGAGTGGGGGCCCACCATCGATTGTGGGGCAGTTGTCCCACATTGACCCCGTGTGCGTGAGTTATAAAGTATATATGGGACTCTAAACAATTTCAAACTGATCGGTTTTGAAATTGTGTTGTATTCCGTCACTGTACCCATGTAAGTGTTTCAAAAAAGACAAACCCCCTTGAGTGGGGACCCACCCCCGATTGTGGGGCAGTTGTCCCACATCGACCTCATGTGTGTGAGTTGTAAGGTATATATAGGACTCCAGACAATTCTAAACTGACCGGTTTTGGAATTGTGCTGTGTTTCATCACTGTACCCATGTAAGTGTTTAAAAAAAAAAAAAATCTTCCTCCCGCATTCCCCCGTTGTGGCCTGATGGTGGCCACTGTTGCCCAAAAAGGCAGTGGGTGAATTGCACAATTGACCTAGGTTCAATACCTCCCACAAGCAATACTAACCTTACTAATCTAACCGTTGCCCTTATAAAAAAAAAAAGTTCTTCCTCCCTTTCTCTCTTTCTCTCTCATATTAAAAAAATAGAAATAGATTTTTTTATTGACACTAACGCCATTTCAACATCTCATAGGACAGGAAAGCAGCCTAAAGAAGAGAGTATTGCCCCTACAGCAAAAATTTTGAAAATACACTGTAATCCTCCCCCTTTGAATATTGGTTAAAATCTACTTTTAATTCTTTATCTTAATAAATTTATATGTTTTAGTACCTTATCTTATACTATAACATTTTTAATCATTTACTTTAATAAATTTATAGGTTTTAGCCCCTCACCTATACGAATTAAAGAAAATAACCCTCACTTAAAGTCAGGTTATAATGTTCTATTAGTTCTGTTAGTTGATTGTTAATTTTATTAGTTGATTGTTAACATTTCATTAACAGAACTAACAAATAAAATTGAATTTAAATTTCATATTTTCTGTAACGAAATACTAATGGAATGCTAACAAATGCTAACAGTCAATTAATAGAGCTAACAGAACGTTATAACCTAATGTTAAGTGAAGGCTATTTTCTTCAATTCGTATAAGTGAGAGACTAAAAGTCTCATAGTATAAGGTAAAAAGTTAAAACCTATAAACTTACTAAGGTAAAGAACTAAAAATGTTATACTATAAAATAAGAGGTTAAAATCTATAAGTTTATTAAGGTAAAAGACTAAAAGCAAGTTTTTACCTTGAATACCAATACTAATTCCTGCATCTTCCAACCGAATATATTCTTCTACTTTCTTTCATTTTTTTTAACAGTAAAAGTGTTTTTAGACTAATTTTTTCAAATTTTAAAATTAATCTCTTTCTCAAAAGTTTTAAAGGTGCACTATTCATGTTAGCCTAACTGCATTTAAAGAAAATTTATTTCCTCAAATATTACAACTCTTCATCCACAAATCTAACAATTAGATTAAAATTGCAGAAAAAAATGATTGGATGATGCATTTAGTTCTTGATTTGTATTTGGGGATATGATTATTGCTACATAAAATATTATTAAAGTCACATAAATTTTATTAATATTTACCTTTAAAAATATTAATAATTAATAAAAATATCTGATAATTGTAATTGTTAATTAATATTTATTACTTAATAATTTTAAATTAATTTATACATTAATATTTCTAACCACTTTAATTAATTGTTCAGAGAAAAAATAATAAAACCTAATAAAAGTAGTCAAATTAAAATACATTTTATGTAACCTTAACAATATTTTGTATCGCAATAACTATTGCCTTTTATGTGCCAAAAAAAAAAAAAAACTATTGACTTTTGGTAAGCAGTTTTTGTCTGTGGAGTTGTTGGGTGTTACTATTTCTAAACCAACCAAGAGCGTGTTTGGCCAGCAGTTTTCAGTAGAAATTGATGCACCAGAAGTTGTTGTCACTAGAAATTGCTAACCAAACACACCCTAAAATTAGTTTCTGAAAATGGAATTATATCATCCATTCATGTCTTTAATCTACAAGACAACTAGACATATGCAGGGGAAACTGTCAAATAGCTGTCCCCCTAAAGAGTTATTTACCCCAAAACCTACTTCTTGATAACTGTTAATGAAGGCAGTGGTTATAACCATACAGCAGCAAACTTACAAATCTTAATTTGGGATTAATACCTCTAAGCAATTAACTCTAATATATATATATATATAAGAGCTTCCTACAAACTGCTAACTAAACTGCTAACACACCCCGGAATTGATCCGTGAAAAATGAAATTTGATCAAGCACTTAATCTACGAAACATCGGGACAAGTCCCGTTTTGATGGGGAAATCACCCCTTTCCAAACTTAGTAGCGACACAGACGCCTTAAACAGATGGACATATGGCAAAACATGAGAGACACAACACACTCCTCTTTCCTGAAAAGAAACATATCCAAACAAAGTTTCCTTTTCGGCTTTTCCTCTCTTAGATCTGTCAGAAACTCAATCTCTCTGCCATTTCAACTATTCCTTAAATTTCGATTCCATTGCTTTTATTGCATACCGAAAACACCGAAAACAGCTAAAGAATCACAAATTATGAGCTAAAACTAAGAGCTGAATTAACAAAACTTCTTCTTTTTTTCAATCAATTCCCTATCAACTCTGCACAACTTTCAATGTTTTCGATAGTGCAGCTAAGAGTTACGAATCTACATCTTAGAATTATACGGATTTTATTGTACTAATTTAACATTCTGAAGAGAGATTTTAGAAAGAAGAAGGCTATTTTTTTGAACGAAAAATTAACACTATTAATTTTCTACTTAATTCCCATTAGAGGTTACATCTGTACTATGCATCGTTTTTTTTTCAACTTCACAACAATTACATATCCCACAACAGAAAAGAAAGAAAGAAAAGGGAGTCCCTACACAGATTAAGTTAATCCTTAAAAATACCAACTTTAACTCAATCAACAATTAATTAACAATACCATTACCATATTTCTTTGAGTTTCTTCACCAAACCAACCTACCTTGACCTAACAACTCCGGTTCCGGTTCCGGTTCCAGTGCCGCCAGCGCTGGCTCCAGCCTTTCCCACACCCATCTGGTGATGGTATCCACCAGAACCGTAGACGTTTCCAGGATGATGACCCATCATCATCATCCCTCCGTACATTCCTCCCCCGCCATTGTACCCACCAGTTGCGTTGACCCCACCACCACCAGCAGTCCCTCCACCACCGGAAGAGCCAGTACCACCACTGGGTCCACCAGCGGAGCCACCACTAGCGCTGTCTTTATCCCCTCTGCCGATGGAGCTCTTTTCTCCCTCCATCTCCCTGTATTTCTGCAAGTAAATTTTCAGGGGCTCGACGTACTCCTCAAATCCCAGCGTGGTCATGGCCCAGAGCAAATCATCGCCGTTGATGGTCTTCCTCTTCTCTCGCTGACACTTATCGGAAGCCTCTCCGGTGATGAAGCTGATGAATTCCGAGACGCACTCCTGCACCGTCTCCTTAGCGTCCTTGGAGATCTTGGCGTTGGCCGGCAGAGCCTTCTTCATGATCCTACTGACGTTGGCTATCGGCAGGAACCTATCCTGCTCCCGCGCTGACGCCTCGCTGTGAGCGTTGCCGCCACTGTTATTGTTGTGTCCTCCCGATTCATTGTCCGAATCTGCCATTAACTAAATGCACATGTCCAATCCAATCCAACAAATTTTATGAAAAAATTATAAAATTAATTATAGAGGGATTTTAATTTGTTAGGGAAATTGGAATTCTAAGGAGAGTAGAAAGGGGAATCGGGACGGTGGCCGGAGGAAAGGGGGGACGATTTCCGGGCAAATAGAAAGGGGTTTGGTTGCATAAAAAGGAGAGGTGTTGCGGTCTGTTGGATCGATGGGGTAATAATGCATCGGAAGCGACACGTGGAGTTATGTGAACCGTTCGTTTCTTCCTGGATGGTTTAGTGTCCCTCGACGACTTGACTTTTGTTTTTTCTTATTAAAAAAACAAAAAAGAAAAACCAAAGGTTAAATTCCTTGCTCCCTCAACTTTAGAGTTTTGAACATTTTCGTCCCTTAAGTTTTTTCTATAATTTTTAGTCCATTAATTTAAAGGTGTATTTTTTTTGTTATTTTATCAATTAATTTATTAAATTTATCAATATATACACATTTAAAATTTTTTACCTTTAAA